TCCCTTCCCTTCCCTTCCCTTCCCTTCCCTTCCCTTCCCTTCCCTTCCCTTCCCTTCCCCAAACTATATTATTTCAGCTTGGATTCAGCATGTTAGATGAACCTCACTCTTATTATCTAGTTTATGACTTAGCTTTGTATGCATACTTCTTATGTGTATATTTATTTATCTGTAATATTTATAACTCAGCCCAATTCTGAAGCACTCTGAGAGGCATACAATAACACAAAAACTATACTGGAGAACCAGTGTAACAGTAAAAATCCTCTAATCAATTACCTGATATCCTCATTCAGATCAACTGGGTCAAAGGGTTTGAAACAGCATAGCTTTTACTAATACGATAGGGGCCACATGTACCTCTAGGAAAAGGATGTTCCAAAGGGTGGGTGGGGGGCCTACCAAGGGGAAGGTCTGTCATCTGGTCCACCTCCAGATAGTTTTTCATGGTATGTAGATTCTCATCTGCAAAGAGAACCAACTGATTGATCTGGGACAGAATTAAGCTGACCATTCCCTTGAGGTGAAGAGCAGCAAATAGAAACTCATATACTTTGGGCGCGCCATACAAGCAGATGACTATGCTTGGCAAGGCCAAGGGAACAGAAGGTAAAAGAATGAGATCAAAGAGATAATTGGAATGTCCTGAAAAGAGCTGCAAGTTATTACTGGAGACCAGCTGACATGGTGAGCATTTGTCCACGTAGTCACAAGGAGTTAAGCCCAACGTGATGGCACCTTAAGAAAGTATATGCAATCATTAAGAAATAGGAACAGATTGTCATTTATAGTGGAACAAGAAACTCAAAAGATGCTATGCTAATCAGTCAAATCAATGTGCTTGAGTGTTTCACCAGAACTGGAGGGTAGAGATGGGTGAGTAAGTACTGTAGGAATGGAGAAAATTATGTCAGGTTTTGCAACAACAACAACAGCAAGAACAACAAGGAAAGTTGGCTATTTCCGCCCAATTATTTGGTGCAACTTCATATATGTCAAGGTTTTTGAATGAGGCAGCAGCAGAGATGCCACCCTCGGAACCATATAGATGTCCACAATTTTGCAAAATAATTTTAGAGGATTTGTTTTGGAAAGAAGACAGAAATTGGCAGGGATCCCCATAACAACAAGGGGAACTGTAAAGGACTAAAATATGAGTTGAGGTGAAAAAACTCAATTAGAACTCATCATGGTAGGACAGGAAGATATGAGGTCTGGGTGGAACATGATGTTCTTGCGTAGTTTCAGTGATGAAATGACCAAGGGTGTATAGGTGTGCAAGTGTCCTGTCTTCTATAATGCAATCTTCTTTGATAGTTCAGCCCTCTTCTGCAGCAGAACATGATACATGTACAAAAGGGTCAGAGATTGCATTGCTATGGCATGATGTTCATTGCTTCCCCTGCCCTCACCCCCACTCCCACTGATGTTACTTGTCTCCAGCCTTCTGGTTTCTCATTCTTCCATGTAGTCCCAAGGAAAGACATCTTTTTTTTTTCTTTTCCCATAGTAGTATAAAATGGTCCTGCCCTTTAAAAATTAGTTGTGGAATTTCCCCTTCCTTAGGAGAGATCTGAAGACTTCCTTAGCGGTAGGTGAAAATATTAAATATAACGTGGTGGAAAAATACATCTAAGAAATGCCAGCAGCTGGAGAGGATCCAAATAATCACTTTATTTTTCCAAAGCTAGCAGGATACAGTGAGTCTCTGGTCTCTTGACCCAGATTAACTAAGAGCAAGAGCCTCTAGGCTGCATAGATTTATGGAGAATGTTCATCAAGGGCAGTTGGAGCATGGATGTATGTAAATAGTAGACCCTAATAAAGAGAATTGTTTTACAACAGATAAAAAAACATGACATAAAGAAAGATATGGGCCTGAAAACATTACAGGCACATTCCTTGAAAGGTAATATAGTAGCTTTGATATAAGACTTATGCCAAAGCTCTACTTGTTATTCTAATGAATAGAATATTTCTAATGAAGAGAGATAAGGAAGCATAGCTAGGACACATATACTGCCTCCTTTCAAAGCATTAACTGTACACTCTATCAGTCATTGGCTGATTACGTGCCATCAAACTGGTGTTGACTCTTAGCGACCACATAGATAGATTTTCTCCATGATGATCTGTTCCTAATCTGGTCTTTCAGGTCTTCCAAAGGTGTACTCAACACCTCTATAACTGAGTCCATCCCCCATGCTGCTGGTTGTCCTCTTCTTCTCTTTCCTTCCACCTGTCCCAGTATTACAGCCTTCTCCAGAGACAGACCTTCACATAATGTGTCAGAGTAGGATAATTTGAGCCTGGTCAGTTGCACCACGAGTTGGAACTCTGAATTAATGTGTTCATGATCCATTGCTTGTTTTCTTGTCTGTCTGTTTAGTCTTCTTCAACACTAGATTTCAAAAGTGTCAATGTTCTTTCTGTCAGGCACATATTGACACAGTAAAGAAAAATTCATTATTAAAGAGAGATGCAACAAAAGGCATGTATATAGCCATTTATCTGTGTAAGTAAGTACATAATTGACTCAACTCCAGTTCTTATTCCCACTCTTTACAATAACAAAAACAGAAAGCTACAACTTTAAGTGAGGACCTCTTGTGCTGTTTTACAGTGGACATGTAAAAAGTCAGAAGTATAGCAGGGACAGCACTAATATTAGGTAGGAAAAAGCCATAATTTAAAGTAGTAAAAGTGGAGGGTTACCAGATCCGGCCTGCAAAATGCCAGAGGGTCACTAGGAAGCAGCAAAGAGATACAGAAGAAACTGCTGCCATTTATTTTTATACATAGACTTATCCCTGCCCATCTCCCTGCAATGGGGGACTCTGGGCGGTTTACATCAAGTTAAAACAATAAATACA